ATATATATATATATATATATCGTTAGAAATTCTGCTAAAAATGGAATTTAATTAATATTATAAGTACTTTAATTTTTAAAAATTTTACAAGTTATCGAATCTAATTGCAAGTGCTGTTATAACGATGATTTATGAAATATTAAATTTCCTCTCATAGCTTCAATGTTAAAAAAAAAAAAAATAGAATTTAGAATGTTAAAAAAATAGAATAATATAAATTGGCTAAAAATAAACCGAATAAAACGATTGAACTTTTAATACAATTTTCAATGTTTACAGCCCTCTTGAAAATAATATTAATCAGATTTCATCGACTCGCTAGTTTTAGATACATTTTGATAACACTATAATTATTGCAATTAAACCTTTTAGCCGATAATTTTTTCGTCGTTATTGATAATTTTTTGGTTCACTTTTCATATTTATATTCTAAATCATTCACATGTATCGTGAGTTACTTGTTTTCTTAAACTTGTTCCAAATTTTGTAAAAAATGATAATCATCCATGATTCGTTTTAATACATAATCTACCTTTCTGCAATGAAATAATATAAAAAGCACGAAACAACGTAAGAACAACAAATTTCGACAAATATTTAATAAATATTATTTAACAATATTTTTTGCCACAAAATCCTAAACGACTACTCTGTCTCACGTGCAACAATTTAACAAATTCATACGGAATCTAGAATATGTATGCACACAAAAAAAAATCTACAGAAATCTAAATTAAAATATGGTGAAGAGTGTAATTTACAGTTTAATTACGGTAAAATAACAAAGGAATACGCCGTGTTTGTATGGGAAGTGGAAGGACTAGGTATATCTTGCGTGTTGCGAATCACAAGTCGGATAAGCCAATAGCCCGAGAGAACATGACATTGCGCAGTAGCGCTGGTTCGTGTGTTTTAGAAGATTAGTTGCCAAAGGGGGAGGAATAGAAGGGTTCGAGTTGTTCTTACTGCGAGAGATAATGAGGCGGTGCTGTCAGGTTTGCTGGATAACATAATACTTTGACTTGTTTACACTATCCTATTCCAACCAAATGCTTAACCTGTGTTTCGTCTTTCGTTAATTAACGCGGCAAATGTAAGAAGAAGAGAGCCTGCGAC